ACATCATGAATCGAAATAGAGAACACAAATTGCCACAAAGTCTTGAAGCCAGAGAAATGAAGTTCTTTGGAGAACAACCGAGTCGTGTGCCGAAGATGGAGGAAAGTCGAGGGGAGAGATGCGGAGGGGGAAAGTAAACGAGGAGTCCTAGATACGATCCTTTGTCTTGAGTTTTCTATGGTGGTGGAAAAGTGATCCCTCTTTTTTCTTCCTCCTCCTTCTCCCTTCCTCTCTCGAGCCTTTTTCCCCCTGCAGAAAGTTTCCAACGTGTAAAGGCGACAGAAGAACGATACCTCGTCGCGCGAGTAATTGCTTCGACACAAGAATGCAATATTCCTCTGTCTACAGCGATTCCACCGTATTTTTTTCTCTTCTCCTCCTCCTCCAGGCCGAGGTTCATCCCCCCGGCGACGTCCACGTGCCAGTCTAATGTCTTATTACTCGCGTCCCCGTGAATTTAATACGAATATTACTGTGTAGGGTGTCCTCCGTTTTTTCCAAAGCATATTTCGCGGCATCGTTTAATAAATTTGTTCTCGAATAAGCTTGGATGGAACAGATACTTTGCTATGTTTATTCAGATGGAATGTAATCGTAGATGCTGTATTTGAAATATGTGGCGATTATTGGAGAATAATTGTCGAATACTGAATTTGGAAATAAAAATTGTTACGAGAAAACAATTTTATCCTCTTATTTTCGATTTACTTCAATGTCAAGAATCGTTTATTTTTGATTGATCATTTTTGAAACGTATATTATTGATATTAGAGAAAAGAGAAGCGAGTTCATCAGATTTTTCTGTGCAAAAATTTTTAAAAATTATCAAACATTAACATTTGTAAAGGAAAAAATGGATCTTTGAAATCAAAATAAAATAATTATTGAAAATATCAATCTTTTATTTTTACACTAAAAAGGACATGAAAAATCGATTCGAAATAATCGTCGGGTCTCGCAGCGTGTTAAAAACGAAGGTTAAAAATCGAAAAAAATATACGTGTCCTTTTATAGCCGGAAAATACGTCAGAGATCGTCAGCATTTGCATGTTTCGCCATTTCCATGTGACTCGTTTGAATTGCAAGTCAAATAAAAATCAGCCCGACCGTGGATTAGCATAACAACGTTTTTATTTTCCCCGTCGTTGCAATTCGGGAAATTAATATTCCCTGAACGCGGGCACGTTGTGAAAAAGGAGAGGAAAAGAAAATGCGTCGTTCATCGTCGTTATATATATATATCGATCTTGATCTCGAACTTTGTCGAACGAATAATTTCCTCATCGATCTCCCTTCTTGGAAAAGAAACGTTGAAAATTTCGAGAGGACAGAAAAGTTCCAGAAGAGAACGCTTCCAAGTTTTTCGCTCGCTTAAGTTTGAAAACGAGAAATTTTAAATCGTTCTATAAATTCTACAAATTTATCTAAATGTATAAGGTGTTAATATATTTATGAATCAGCTCTAGAGGATCGATTCTAGAGGCCAAAACAAACAGAAAATTTGGCGTGGAAAAATATCGGTTCAGACTTATTTATTAAGCTGCGAACAATTTAAGTTTTACATTTTACATAGATGAAAAAGCGTCTATTTTCGTTTCATCTCAATGCGAATTTCAACTGTTGTGCATCAACAATTTGTTTTCGCCTCTAAAAATTCCATTCCACGTATACATCGACATTTATTTCGATTCTGATTCTCGATAAATGGAAGATAAACGAGGTTATATTAGAAAAAAAGAAAAAATATACACGTATTGCTTTAAATTTTCACTTTTAACTCCGACTTTTCCTTCGCAAATGAATTATATACTCTATTAATTATATACTTGCAACGACTCAAAGTATCAAACAACATTCGATATTTCGAGCAACAACCATTTCAATTCCATTTCTAGCTTCGAGTTACTTGTGTGTGAAAAGTTTGTCACCGCGACGAAACGAGATTCAGATCGATATCAAACGCTGCTAGCATCCCAGTTTCGATCCAACCCTAACGCGACATTCGACGCAGCCAAGGTTCGCCCCGTCACGTAGCAAGTAATATGCAAATGACATATCGTCACGGTGAAATTTATTCATGGACGAGGAGGCTGCCCGCAGCTGCGGCTTCCAAGTTCCACCGAAGTAGACTCTCTGTATCCCTCCACCCCGCCCAAAATTGTCGTAATGAACTTACAAGCTCGCGCGAAACTTGCGTCTTACCACCCCCTCGATCGCGGTCCAATTTTAATGATGGAACAAATCAGCGGTTTCACGTAACTTTCGATGTCGAGCGAAAATGTATTGGAGACGAAAGTTTTTGGAGACGAAAGATTTCGATTCTCTCGAATTTTTGAAGTTAGGGAGATGTTTGGTTCGAGAGAAGAGGGATTATGTTATGAGATATAGAATTAAAATATGTTTGACGATTTTCTTGAGAGTTATGTAAGTAAAAATTGTTAAGATGAATATTAAGTAGATTTTTAATGGTATAGAAAACTGTAGGATTGAATTTTTTAAATTATCGTTTATCGTTTTTACCAATTTAATTACATGACGTAGCAGCATATAGTTATGGTAATAATATCACAAGAATGATAAATATTTTTGTATCAATTTGAATATGATTTCTATCCAACCGAGAAGCCTGGACATATTTGTTCGTTTTGTAATAAATTGTAGGAAACGTCGAAATATTTCACTCGAATAAAAATTTCGAAATCTAAAAATGTTAGAAAACGTTAACTTACTTAGAAATTTTGAACATCATTTGATCGTTCGAATTATCAACCTCTATTTTCTTTCGCAAATTTCCAGCAAAAATGACAACTCGAAGACAGGTGATAACAATTAGAACTATTCGTCGAATTATTATGCCGAGAGGAAACGAGTGAAACTCGCGGTTCGACACGGTCAAAATGCGAACAACACGCTTTTGGCATCGGGCATGACACGCTCGGCTGTTGGCTCGCCACTTGAAATACGATATTTTTTTGGCCAGCAAGCTCGTTTGTTTTACGAGTGAATCGCGCGTCAAAGGATCAGAGATTGCGCCATGTTACTACATTCTATCGCAATTACGAATCGCTATACAGGATTTCTAACTATGTATTTTCGTTCCTTGTGGACAAATTTTTCTCTTTCGATGCCACTCTCTGTGTCCGTGTCTGCGAATTTGTGCCCATTTATTCGAAAATCAGTTTGAGACTTGACGTGTTAATTTGTTTGATACGCTTTTGACGAAAATCTAATAATTATAATTGTTTTAAAAATATTAATTTACATATGTTACGTATACTATTTTATTCAGTATTGTTAATTTGTTAAAATTTGATTTATTGATGTATTATTAAATTTTTGTTTAATATTTCAATGTATGTAAAAGTCAGGTGAATGACTTTGTACCACGGCCAATTTGCTCAAATTATATAATTTAAATATATATATATGTGTGCATAATGTAAATGTTTGCACAATGTTCTAAAATTATTTATTCTGTGAAACTTGAGAATAATAATATTTTACTACATTTCAAATCAATCATAAGGAGGAAAATAAAAAATCTCGTTGACAAGGATATTTTAATTCTATTTAAACGGACACAGGCTATATATAAGCGTTTATATGTCATTGAACAAATAAAAATCAAGTTTGTTGCAAAATTACAAGATTTAAACCAAAAACGATTGTGTATAGAAAAAAGACCAGGACATAAAACTTTATTATTTTCTTCGATTTCAAATTATTTCTTATACATTTAAATAATTTCGTAATGAACAAATCGGAACGAAGAAATTGAAAAATAAAATTTAAAAATTTTTCTCTAAATTTGAACGAACATTTTATAGAAATCCGACGTTACAAATAATCAATTCTACGAGAATTCTGATCTATAATGACCCTAATAATTTGTCAATACCCACTACAATAATTATTTTAATAAAATATATTTCGAATTTTTACATTCATGTTTTGAAAACATCAAACTATTGTATTTACGATTTCGTTCTAAACTTCTGTTGCATATACAAATTACATTTACATCATCGTCATACTAGCAATTTGTCAATTATTATTATTATTAATTAATACAAGAGAAGAAATTGCTCGTTATGTTGCCATAGAATATAATTAATATAAATTTTCTTAAACACACGTCTCGGTGAAAAAAGAAAAAGAAAAAAAAAGATCACGTTACGCTCCGATACAAACGACCCGTGATTCCAATCAGAGCATTAAGTTGTCCACCTCTGGAAAAGCGTGTTGATTACCGTGCACCACGTCCCTAGGAAACAATGCGGACATTTTATAGCCAGTGTACAACCAGCACAGTCCCCTTATACTTGTTGGGAACAATGGGTATTATGTAGCGTGGCGCACGCACGGAAATGGCCTTCCCAAGACTTGTTCGAACTAGTTGTAACTCACTGTTCAACTGTTGACGAGCAGCGCAACAATTACGCTAATGCATTGTCCTCGGTTCCTTCGCCTAACGACTCTAAACGATCGACGCCCTTTCGACCATTTCAATTAAAGGGGTTGGCCTAAAGCGCGCCACGATTTCGAATCTTGTAATATCGCGGCCACTAATCGTTTTATAGCGACTCGATTCGTCCAAGGTTAATCGGTCGAATAATTATTCGAAGGGGCCCCGTTATTGTCCGCCATTATTATTCGAACGCGAAGAAGGAAAGGTATTTTCTAAAGATAACTTGATTGTTACGAATTTAATATCAGAAATGTATACACGAATTTAAAAATGTCGATACGTTGATTATTCAAGAGAATGCGATATTTTTTCTTCTCTTCCATTTTCTTTTCGATATTTATTATTTCTTGGAAAAATTAATAAGTCTAGCTTGTGTATAAGTATGCATTTTATGTTATCTATATGTATTATCGATTTCTATGGAAAAGAAAGAGATACGTATATTTCCACTTGCAAGTGGAGCAAGTACAGCAATAGTCAGGCAACATCGCCTGCAGACCTGTTCGTAATAAAAGAAAAATTGAGAACTCACCCGTATCGTTGTCTCCTGGAACACCAAGACTATCGCTATTGTCATTGATGAAGGCCTCCGCCGTCGACGTGAAGGTCTGAGGTGATAGTGTGAGGTCCGGCCCGCTCTCACTATCGAACAATTCTAAATTCCCGTTTCCTGGAATAAATCGAAAGGACACGCGTTATTAAATTTTCTATAATTTATATCTTCGATCGAATATTTAACGAATTAAAACGTAAAATATACAAGGAAATAAATTTTAGTTGAAATTGTAAGTTATAAGTTATTCATACAATTTCGTTACACGAGAATTGATTATTTTTTTATCATTAAAATTCTTTAAATGAAATACATGAAATTTATATAAATATCTTTAATAGTTTACAGTTTCTTGTTTCATTGTGTGAAACAATTAAATGTTGTTAACCAGTTTATAATCATTTATGTGTACGAGAATCTATTTTCGAAAATATTTTCTCGAATATCTTCACCCATTGTTCTTGCGACTACAATATGCAGAAACGAAATCGTTTGATCATATACGATGTTGTGCACGGGATTGGCAAACGTTACTGACAAATAGACAAGATACTTTGCATGTTACGAAGGGCATAGCTGAAAAATAATTGGCTTCGTTGTAACATGACATTTTATCTATGATTCATTGCATATAATTATCACATTTTCATTTTCGATTCGAGAGAGAAGATTTCCAATTTATTGATTACGAAAACAAAAGTTATTAAAAACTTTTCGTTCAATATTTTGTATAATATAATATTTATCGTTCAATATGTAAATTATGGTGGTATATATAATAATCGAGTGATTTAAATAAGAGAATACGTCATTTAATGCGCTCAATGCTGCATTGAAAATCAAAGGGAGCGTCTAGTGGCGAGTATCGATTTTTTGATAAGTACAAAAACAACTGCAAAACAGTGAAAAATAGCATAAAATCCAAAACGACACTGTGTACACTGATAGCAACACTCGTAGCGAACGTGTACACAAAAGAAAAGCCGGATACCTCTTTTGTACTATTCACATTTTTTTGAAAGAGGATCCATGACGTGGTCATGCGTTGTCCACCATAGGATATAAAATCCCCACGCATTCGTTCACGTTAACCTCGCTGAATCCGCTAAGCGTAACTTTTTTTTTCTACTATTAGCAATTTAGCAATGCTTTTCTTCACGATAAAAATTTTCTAATTTTTCTACTTCAATTTCTCCCATTTTTTTTCCTCAATAAAATAATTTTAACATTCAATTATAAGATATCTTCGTTTGTTGCAATTCCAAAGTAGATACAAAAATTGGAGCCTTATTCGTTAAATCACAATCAATTTTAATTTGCATAAATAAGATGAGGTGAAAAGAAGATAGGGATATGACGAAGATAAAACTGTTTCTCCATCCAACTTAAATTCCTCAAATCGAAACTGCAAAGATATATATCACGAATATATCATATGAAAAAAATCGATACTCGTCCCTAAAAATCCAATTTGATCTTGTCAGAGTAAAGATATATTCGTGTGTGAATCAACAAAAATTCATTAATACATATTCGGTTTTAATATATAATTATTTTCTGTTCAACCCAATTAAAATTGCTCTCTACAAGAATAAACTGATATAAATTGTAAAAATCAAGGTATCGTTGAATTACGGATCGAATCTTAACGCGGTTCACCGAGTTGATCGATCGTTTTCATTATCAGCATGGGACAAGAGAGGTTTGCGAAGTTAAGGAACCGGGCTGGGAGGGTTAAACGAGAAGTTCTCGGAGTATGAGACGAGTGTCGCTTTCGCATATTCCTCGGCGCACTGACAACAACGGTGAAGCACTCTTAGGAGAACTAGCAGCCAGTCGAGGATCTCTCGAGACCTTAGGTGGCCTTCGCGATCCGAGGACAACTGCTGCCAAGTGGCAGCAAACTTTGACTGTGGATTTTAGGTTACGAAGCTCTACGCGACCTAAACTCTGTCTCCTCAGCTTGTCAGACCCTCGTTACGACCGTCTCGGTTCATTCGATTATATCGCGTCGACGACCGCCTCGAGACGACCGCGATCGGCTCCAAGGATCAGGCGCCATGTTTTCGTTGCAATTTAACGAGAAGAATTAACAAGTTTACGACTACGTGTATAAATGTAAGTATTGGTATATTAGATTGAAATTATGAGATGTTGTTGAACATAGGAATTTAATATTTGTAACAAATTGATTGAATAATATTTGTTCCACATCAATTTAATAAAGCGAAAAGCTGAATGAATATTCTATTTAATTGTTTTGAATTATATTTAACAATAATTAAATTCGAATGTTTTCTTATATATATATATAGGTTTAAAATTTGTGTGAAAACTTAAGAAAAAAAAAAGTATGAACATGCGGATAAATTGATAAATAAAATTTTGAAAAATAAAAAAGAATTATTAGTAACGATCAATTAAATTAATCGAATCAATAATTTTAACCTTGCTTTTCAAAATGTATTGGATTTATTCAGTCAAAAATTGTTTGATTAATTGATTATTATTTTCAATAGAGTTATAAATATTAAAATTTTTATTATAAAAATTCATTTTAACAATCTAATACATCCTTGATAGAATATTATAACTGCGTATTAAATATGCGAATCTGTGTTTAGGACACAACTTTTTCGTTTGTGGTCTTTATCAAATTTTATAAAATAAAATTTTATTTGAATCTTGAAATTTGAACTCGAAAATTTTATGTTTTGTCATTTAAAAAGTAGAACAAGTTTTCTTGTCAATCAAGAAATAATATTATATTTTATATACGTTTAAATAATTAAATTATAATCAAAATTATAATCGTAGAAAGAAGATAAAACTATTTGACAAAACAGAAAAATCATTATAAAATCACATTAGTTGTTTTTACAATTTTTTAATTATTGCAAAATTAAAACAATGTAAAGATGATCAGTTTTGGGAGTAAACAACAATGAGATTGAATCAGGTGAAATTATATAATATTGATTTGTGAAGAGTAAGCTGGATTGTAATCAGTGATGGTTTAGTGGATTCAAAGGTTGATTCATGGGTTAACCTATAGTGACGCACTTCAGATGCCCTAGAGTTATCATATGTTGGAAACTTCAATAATAATAATAATAATATAACAAATTTACACGATAAATATTTATGAAATAAACATCTAGCAAGATGAAACCTCTCATAAACAATAACTGGGTCAATACATTAATTGATTATGAGTAAACAATATTAATACTACGTCGTAATTCACAGTTTTGTTTTTCATTAATAGTTTACTAATTCATCAAATTAATTACATTCAATTATAATTCAATAGTATCCATTTTCTATAATTAATCACTTTAATTAATAAATATCACCAATTTTACCATAATATTATACGAGCCATGAAACAGCTTATAACAAGAATTTCAAATTACTTTTAAGAAATTAACAAATTGATACTGTTAAAGAGAGAGAACACTGTTTAAAACGATATACAAAATCAATTAATTATAATTTATAATCGCATAAATTATTCGTTATAAAAATATCACAATAATCCAAAAATCCATTTGTTCGACGATGTAAGAGAAAAAGAATAATTCAATACCAGAGCAACCACAGTGGTCGAAATATTTTGAAATATTCAGAGACAGAAAATATATGATTTCACTCACTTTGACCGGCACAATTATACGTTTGGTGGAGAGGTGTACACAAAGCATTACATACCATATTCGTCCGCTTCGACATCGCGTACACGATTCGAAGGCGAGCGTTCCCGTTAATTCAAAGCGACGGTATGCATCTCGCGGTGGATTAACATATTCCAGATTATCCGCCCGCGTTTGCGTTAATGCCTGTGCCGTTGGGTTAGTTAAATATGTAAATATAAGCGGACCCAGCCATGCTGGACGTTATCCGCGCTTACGAGAGATCGATGAATCACACGACAACACACTGTATATATATATATAAAACGTGCGCATGCGATAAGGGTGAAGGGTTAAACGAAATTCTGGGAAAAAACGAGCGAAAGTTTTAAATTAGGCAGAGTAAATCATTAAGGAAAACTTTTATTGGTTATTTGTTGTTTAATGATACTTGGTTAGAACACTTTATCTCATCAATCTTGCGTGATAATTTCTTTTTTTTTTTTTTGGTGAAACTGAGGGCGAACTTTGGCTCGTTACAAAAAGAATTATATAAATAAATTAAAAATACACGATAAACGTACAATGCGAGATAAATATAAGTAAAATTCTAATTATACATCATGATGATTAGATTGTAATGTAATTAGAATTAGAATTAAACGTGAATATCGACTATTCTCTGAACTTTATATAACATAATTATCTAATTCCAAACAAAAACAGAATCTTTCTCGAATGAAAAATTTCATTTGATTCTACGAATGTTCGGATCAATAAAATTTGATTTTAAAATTTTATTGTTAAAATCATAAAACAAACGCGATCATTCCACAGCTGACTGCAGCGACACCTGAAAACAGGAGCTGAGGTGTATTCGAAGACAAGGGGGTTGATCATCGGAATAACGAAGTGAGCCAAGGGGGCGGCTGGAAGGAAGCGGCCGAGTTTATTCAACGCGCGAACGAAGCCCAGATATTAATTTTCCCGATGTATATGGATGAGTTCCGACTAGGGCACGGTGCACAATCCAGAGGGAGAGGGAGGGAGGGAGAGAGAGAGAGAGAGAGAGAGAGGAAAGTAGCTACAGTAGCCATGCTGGAGGTGGTTGGAGGTCGTACGTCGAAGGAAGGTGGGTACATAGCGGAGGGTAGAGGTCGTAGGAGATAGTGAGGGGTGGTTAAATTGCTATCGATCCCCCAAGCTTCGCAAATATCGTTTACCTTACCCTTGCAACCCTTCTAAAATCCCATCCACGCTCCCCGTGGCCGTCCTCGCTTCGAGCACGATTTCGTTTCACGTATCGTGCCCCCTCCCCCCTCGGGTTTTTATGGAAAGTCAATGCCGCGGTGAATCGTGAAAGTTCTTTCGGATGGGTTTCTGACGAGCTTCTTCCTCCGCTTTGTCTTCCAAATTCGAGTGGAAATTCGTGTTTACGGGAAAGGGGGAGGGTTCGCTGGTTTAAATTGGGGTTGTTCGGGTAAG